ATTATTATTATTATTATTATTATTATTATTATTATTATTATTATTATCATTATCATTATCATCATTATCATTATTATTATTATCATCATTATTTATTACTATTATTTTTATTACTATTATTAATTATTATTATTGATTATTATTTTTATTACTATTATTATCATTATTATTAATTATTATTTTTATTATTTTTATTATTTTTATTATTTTTATTATTTTTATTAATTATTATTTATTATTATCATTATTATCATTATTATTTATTACTATTATTATTTTTATTACTATTATTAATTATTATTAATTATTATTTTTATTACTATTATTAATCATTATTAATTATTATTTTTATTACTATTATTAATTATTATTTTTATTACTATTATTATCATTATTATTAATTATTACTATTATTATTATTTATTATTATTATTATTTTTATTACTATTATTAATTATTAATTATTATTTTTATTACTATTATTAATCATTATTAATTATTATTATTATTATTATTATTATTATTATTATTATTATTATTATTATTATTTATTAATTATTATTAATTATTATTTTTATTACTATTATTAATTATTATTTTTATTACTATTATTTTTATTACTATTAATTATTATTTTTTATTTATTATTATTATTAATAATAATTATTATCATTATCATTATCATTATTTATTATTTTTATTACTATTATTGATTATTATTATTATTATCATTTTTATTTTTATTTTTATTATTATTAATTTTTATTATTATTATTATTGTTTTTATTATTATTATTATTATTATTATTATTATTATTATTATTATTATTATTGATCATAATCATTTATGTATTATAAAAATTATGGGCCGTGCTGAAATGAGTCAGCGGACATTGGAAATGAAGAGAGCAAGAAGAAGAAAAAAACAATTTGATAGGATCTGGGATTGGTTTGATCCACGGTTGGACCAAAAAGACACAATCAAAGGACAAAAAGACGAGATAATTTGGCGACAGAAATGGAATCGATGGATCTAAAAGCTAATATTTAAGACATTATCGAACCGCCGGTCTGAAAAGTAGAACATAAAAATTGAAGAGAGAAAACTGGGAATATCTCGTAGAAAGTGAGGGAAGGAATAGCTTAGTCACGGATGAGTAACAACTATATATATAAAAATATATCATATATAATTTTATATATATATATATATATATATATTATAAATATATGAGCATATCTTAGTTTGACAATGTGGAAAACGGATAGAAAACGGCGGGTTAATGACTGCAAAAGATTTGTAACCCACTGACACACTGTATGCATATAAAATGAAAGAGGGTTTTATGTTTTTATGTTTTGTGCGTGTAATGTTTGCTTTAAAACAATAAAAAACTTTTTTTAATTAGCCAAAATGTACCCCGAAATCATCCCCTAAAAAGCTGGGAATGCAACCAAGGAATGCGAACGGTACCACCAGGTATGGTGGCAATGTGAAAAACTCCCAAATCGATCGGCTGAGAATTAGAAACGGGTTAAAAGACGGGGGGGGGGGGTTGTAAAATTAAAATTAAAATAACAGCGGAGACCTTTTCTATTTTTTTTCTATGGGGAATCCATGTTGGAAAATATCATAATATACCTAATAAGTTCGTGCCCAAAGTTGGAAAGGCAACGAACGATACGCCAGAAGAGATGGAAAGAAATAGAAAAAATTGGGTCGGGCGCTGAAACGGAACTCAAGAATGAAAAGTTGAAGACTGAATCTGATTATTATATAAATCTGGGAGAAGATTTACCACTGGTTTATTAAAAAAAGAAAAAGAAAAAGGAGTAATTGTAACAAAGACGATTAATATTTATGTACCGATGTAAATTTGTAATTTTTGGTTATGTATGCATCGCGTTCGTTGTTTTTCATGTTGTTTTTTTCTGTTTATTGTTTAATAATAAATTTTGACTGATACTTCCGCTGATAACATATAATATATCTTGTATAAACTCTCTGTGCATTATACTTATATTCAATATGTTCATAAACATTCTGTACAGTTGTATATATTCCTTCCATAGACATATATTCTGTATATTCATAGATATTCTGTACATCCATATATATTTTGTATATCTGTATATCTATCTATATCTACCTACCTACCTACCTACCTATCTCTATCTATCTATCTATAATATACATACATATCTATATATCTATATCTATATCTATATCTATATACATATACATATACATATACATATATATATATACACACACACACACACACACACACACACACACACACACACACATATATATTTATATATATGTATGGTATTCAGCTTTGTTTGGGTATTTTCCCACGTCATTATAGTTGTACTTTTAAATATATATATATATGTAAATATATGTATGTAAATATATTTATATCTGTAGATAGATAGATAGATAGATAGATAGATAGATAGAGATAGAGATAAAGATAAAGATATAGATATAGATATAGATATATAGATATAGATATGTATGGTATTCAGCTTTGTTTGGGTATTTTCCCACGTCATTATAGTTGTGCTTTTAAATATATATATGTAAATATATGTATGTAAATATATGTATATCTGTAGATAGATGATAGATAGATAGATAGATAGATAGATAGATAGATAGATAGATAGATAGAGATAAAGATAAAGATATAGATATAGATATAGATATAGATATAGATATAGATATAGATATAGATAAAGATAAAGATAAAGATATAGATAAAGATACAGATATAGATATATAGATATAGATATGTATGGTATTCAGCTTTGTTTGGGTATTTTCCCACATCATTATAGTTGTGCTTTTAAATATATATTTGTAAATATATATAAATATATGTAAGTATATGTATGTAAATATATGCATATGTATATAAATACAAATATAAATATATATGTAGGTCTAGGTGTGTCCGGGTCTTTTCCCGTGTAAGAAAAAGAAATTTAATTATTTACTTACTTACTTACCTACTTTATTTATTTACTTATTTACTTGCTTATTTATTTATTTACTTGCTTGCTTACTTACTTCCCTACCTACTTACTGATTGATTGAAATGTTTATTTCATGATGGATGGAAGCCGAAGGACTATGGCTCTTGTGATATCAATCACACACACACACACACACACACACCTTTACCCCTCCCCTCCTTTTTTTTGGGTGG